TCATATGATACAGTATTTTTTAATACTGTGCCTGGCTGAAGCTTCACGTGATCATCAAAAACCTCTTGCCAGACTATGGCTTCCTTGTTTATAGTTGAAACAATACCCAAAAGCTTTTGAATATAGAAAGATTCTAGTCTTTTAAAATCTTTGCCAAAGCCTTTCCGCTTCATGAAATCTGTGACGTCTGGGTTGGACTCCCACAGTATTTTTTAAACAAATGAATAATTGATATGTTAAATTCTTACTTGGTTTCATTTTAGGTCATAATAATAATGCCTTTCTATGACTGTTACGAGCCTATGGTGAGAATGGCTGGAGCAACACCTGTTTTTATTCCCCTAAGATCTGTAAGTTTGCCAGCACCATTCACATGCTTTAAGATGTTTTGAAAATACACAGAATTGCTTTGTCCCTGATGAAGTTTCCACTTTGATTACTTTTTGGGATTTACTGTGTATCTCTACTATGGCTGAAGGTAACCAACATCTTGAAGAGGACAACTTTTATTACTTTATTCTGTTTTTGCCATGTATCTCTGTTGTATCAGCATTCACATTATATGTCATGTTATCTTTTGTATGTGTCTCCCCCACCAACATGAGCACCACTAGCTCAGAGACCATTTCTAACTCACTTTCATAGCACTGCTCCCCAGTGACTAACTGTGTAGGGTATGTATGCTGGGTGCTTCATAAATGCTTGTTGAATTCTGAATAAAGTGAATTTTTTAAATTTTGCTTTTATTTTTAGGAATTTAATAAAGTGTACTACCATTGTCTTTTTAAAAACCTTACTAAAATAAGTAATACGCTAAGGTGAATCACAGAATCTTATATTAGCCCTAAAGTACCAGACGTGTTAACCATCGTTATAGCTGGCTCCTTTGAAGGAACATAGACACTTTAACAGCTGTTTATGTCGACAAGAGTTTATTTTCCCATTTAATAGGTGTGAGCATGAGACTCAGGTCCTCTTGGGCTCTTAAGGCTTAGTGATTTCTGCTTATTTTCTTTGTTAGTCATTTGTTCAGTTACCTTTGCCTTACCTTTCTCTATTTTTTTTTCCCAGTAAGGTATTTATTTGTAAGACAGCAAACATGAATTAATTGAATTAAATCACATTTTGATTCTTCATACTTAGAAACCTGTCGATGGGAAAAAATGGTCTAGTTCTGACTGGACATTGGATCCTCAAGAACTGGCAAGTAAATTTAATTCTAAAACCAAAGCTATTATACTGAATACTCCACATAACCCCATTGGCAAGGTGAGTCTTTGATCTCTTTATACAGTCTTCTGACCTATCATTTTCTCACGTGATGAATCATAATTGGCTCTGCTCTTTTGTTTTCTTTAACACATATAGGTATATACCAAAGAGGAACTCCAAGTAATTGCTGACCTTTGCATCAAATATGACACACTCTGCATCAGTGATGAGGTTTATGAATGGCTTGTATATACTGGAAATAAGCATTTAAAAATAGGTACTGATTATTACATAGAGTCACAAATCTAAATGTGTTTGGGCACGTGTGGAACAACTGATTGGAAAGGATCCCAGAACAGCTTTAAAATAGTCCTTGCAATGGGTATCTGTCCAGATGAGCACTTAAATGGGATTTGAATAAATGATGCTTGACTGAATAAATAAACAAATTGAAGGACAAGCAGTACAAACTAAGGGGAAGGGATTTTTGGATCATACTATAAAGCTATGAAACCAGAGAAGTCCTACTTTTGCCTATACCCTTGGCTTTTTATCAAGAATCTATTATTACTTCGTACATAAGATACAGGGAGCTTACTTGTTCCCAAGCTGGACTGTCTGTGCTGAGTAAGTTGCCAAAATGCCAAGTCAGCAGGAGAAAAGTGCAGGGCCAGTAAGTTATTGCTGCTTGATCTTTGCCTGGGATTTCTTCATTACTACTGGGCTGTCTCACAAGTGTCTCGGTGTCTTCTGGAGTTATTCAAACTGATATCAGCTATAAGATTATATGCTGGGCTGCAGACTTTGGGTCTTTGCACTTCTCCTTCCAATGCCCTGGAAACTCTTTTCCCGCTAGATATCCATATGGCTCAGTCTCTCACCTCCCCCAGAGCTTTATTCAGATACCACTTTTTATGGCCACATTTAAGACAGTTACAAGCTTTCCTTCCAGCATTTGCTTTGCTTTTTTTTTTTTCCTGTTCTGTTTTGTTTTTTCCTTTGTAATAAATATCAAGACCTATATTGTTTACTTCTAATCTGCTAGAATGTAGGGACTTTTGTTTGTTTTAGTGTCTTCTGAATCCCTAGTTGCCAGGATGGATCTTGCGCATGCTAGATGATCAGAACGTAATTGATAAGTAAATGAATAGAAGGTATGAAAAGAATAAGGGAAGGAAAACTAAAATCATTGTGGCAGAAATTAATAAATAAAAAATTAGGGCCCTTACATATAAATAGTTGTTGTATATATCATAATTATCCCTATGGTACATTATAAATTGTAGAACTACAGAGGACGAAGCAACTGCTTGAGGGGATCAACAGAGGAGTGGGCAAAAGATCGGATTTGCTAAGCAGAGAGGTAGAAGGAAAATTCATACCAGATAAACTAAGAGGACTGAGGCAAGGAGGCATAACAGATCAAGATATACTTAAGATTAGGGCAAGTGGTTTATAAGGATATAACAGGTAACGATGATAATGGAAAAGTAGGGTAATTCTGACAGCCTTGAATATGAGAACAGAATTTAAACTTGTTGAGGGAGTCAGTGGTTCTGAAACTCAAAGCCTTACTATAGAGCACCTCAAAGCCACAAAGTTCACATCATGAAATAGGGATACATTGCCTTCCATCCTGAAACAAGAAACAGTTTTCCTAAAAGAAATTTAATAATTAGAAGAAGTCATTAGGGGCGCCTGGGTGGCTCAGTGGGTTGAGCATCCAACTTTTAGTTTTGGCTCAGGTCATGATCTCAGGGTTGTGAGATGGAGCCCTGCATGGGGCTCCATGCTCAGTGGGAAGTCCCCTGCTTGAAGAGTCTCTCCCTCTGCCCCTGACCTCCCCCGCTCATGCACACACACACACACACACACACACCCTCTCTTTCTCTCTAAAATAAGGAAATAAATCTTTAAAAAAAGAGAAGTCAATATAAAAGTCATAGTTCTGTGCATATTTGTCACAAAGAGCCATTGAAATAAGCCCATCAGAGTTTTTTTTTTTATTTTGCCATTAGTATTCACTTACTAAATGTTCATTTGTTTCACCGTTGGTAGCATACACTCTCAGATAAACAGTAGTACTTATTTTAAGTGCATAAGAAAATTTCATGGAAGGAAACTTAAAATTGATTTCTAAAGAAATTCTACACATTACTTTGATCACCAAAGTTCCAATGAGCATACTTTGAGAACTATTGCAAGAGGTGTGCCATGGCAAGGGAATTGGTTACATGATTGGATTTGTGTTTTTTTTTTTTTAAAGATTTTATTTATTTATTTGACAGAGAGAGAGACAGCGAGAGAGGGAACACAAGCAGGGGGAGTGGGAGAGGGAGAAGCAGGC